AAGATATATAAACAACGCATATAAAGAAAACGCGATTTTTCGTTTCTTGGAACATTGAAAGTTTTGGGATATGTCGATTTCGGTTCAATTACGACGGTATCTCAACTCCCAGGATCATCTCCTATATACTCTTTTGTAGAGAATTAAATGGGGGAACTTTTGCAAAAAACAGCTGAATCTTATTATATGTATTTCATATAGATAATGTTAATTTACAGAGAGGGTCCAAAACCTATGGATCACCCTTTATGTAATTATTTTTTGGCGATCGAAGAACAAGAGCATGAAGAAGAGAAAACCCTAAAGGTTTCATCTTTGACTATGTTATTTTGATATGTTTCAAAAGTAATACTTTTATTTTAGATGTTAAAATTTTCGTCAACATCGTTAATAGACCATTGTCTATTCCGTTCTTCGTCGATTAATGTTCACTATTATTGTTCACGATGTTTGCATTTGTTATTACCCCAAAGTTTCAAATCAGCAAATAAAATTATTCATAATTCAGCATCGACACTTCAACTACAGTCAAAACGAGAAGAATCTGAACCGTCTCGAAAAGCTAAAAAATCATCATCAAAGACATCATCCGCTGTACCACTAGGTGCTGCTCTTTCGGCAGTTTCCACAGGAACAACGTCGAGCACTTTGCCTATGGTATAATACATATTGAACCGCTGAAATCATAGTGCTAATTCATAAACTTATTATCGTTCATTTTAGATCTATGAACCATCGTTATTTACTCGTATTAAACAAAAATTTGGTTTTCAAGGTGATTTAAGATATAGCCAACGTGTATTAGATAGATCTGCTTCATTAACATATTATATGCTGCAGAAAACAGTTGATTTTGATGGTTTACAGCGTTTATTAAATATGCCTGATGTGTACTCCACATTTGGCCGTCTCGTTTTTCTTCACGTGTGGATGGTTTTACTACGCTATTTCCAGTTAGGTAATATAATAAACTGTGTTAATCATTATAAAATATAACTTGATCAGCCTCTTGTATTAAAATTCAGTTGCTGTAGAAAACTCGCAGTTTGTCTATCGAATAGCGTTTTTGATATGACCCTCCCTACAAAAAAATATTTTATCGGCACTGGTTGTGCACGGGTGCGCACCGGTGCCGAATAATTTTTTTTCTGGGCACCGATGCGCACCGGTGCCGAAGTTTTGTTTTCAATCATCATTTTGTTTTGACAATTTCTATCTATATTAACGCTACGGTCTACTTCTAATATTTCGAATGTCTTTCTGCCTTCATTTTTTCCTTCTC